AGGCTACCATCAAATTTCCATGTGTTGGCCCTGATGAGGAGAATACAATGTTTATCACACCAAAGGGATCTACTACTACAAGGTTATGCCTTTTGGCTTGAAGAACTTAAGAGCTACTTACCACAGAATGGTGACAAAGCTCTTTGGCTCCATGATCATCCAAATGATAGAGGTGTACATAGATGATATGGTGGTTAAGTGTAAGGAGTTAGAGAACCACCTCTTTGACCTTCAAGACGTATTTGATATCTTGAAGCATCACAAGCTCATGCTTAACGCCTCAAAGTGTGCCTTTGGAGTGAGCTCTAGGAAGTTCTTAGGACACTTGGTGACACGAACAGGGAAAGAAGCTAATCCAGATTAGATTAAGGCTTTGCAGGCAATTAAGAAGCCTTTCTCAATCAAGGAAGTCCAGAGGTTAACAGGCATGGCTGCGGCCCTTAACCGATTTACCAATCGATCTTCAGACCGATACAAACCCTTCTTTCATTTGCTTAGAGCAGGTCGGGCCTTCCATTGGGATGATGAGTGTGATAAGGCCCTCGATGACTTGAAAAGCTACCTCTAAACACTTCTTTGCTCTCCACCCCTTCGCAGGGGGAAGAGCTTCAACTTTATTTAGTTGTATCCGAACACGCTATAAGTGGAGTGTTGCTACGGACAGAAGGGAAGGAGCAAAAGCTTATCTATTTTGTAAGCAAGACTTTATTGGGGGCAAAGACCAGGTATACTCCCCTCAAAAAACTCCTGTTTGCCGTGGTTATAACTTCTCGTAAGCTGAACCACTATTTCCAAGCACACACCATTGTGATAATCACTAGACACCTCCTTGAGGAGTATACTTAGTAAGACAGATCTCTCTAGTCGCATTGCAAAGTGGTCACTTGAGCTGGGGTAGTACGACCTCAAATTCATTCCAAGAACAACGATTAAAGCATAGGTCTTAGCCGACTTCATAGCAGAGTTTACGTATGAACTACCAAAAGAATAGATAGTAGCATGGAGCTTGGCTCTTAGGTCTCAGCCTTGGGAGTTACAAGTTGATGGATCCTCAACCCGGAAAAGATCTGGGGCTGATATTGTCTTGTTCTCCCTTCATGAGGAAGTCCTGGAGCAGGCCCTCCGGTTGGGGTTTGCTGCCACTAACAACGAGGCTGAGTACGACGCATTAATCTTTGGTGTACGAGCAGCATTGAGACTGGGGGCAAAAGAGTTGACTATATACTCCGATTCTCAATTGGTGGTCAACCAACTATCCAGGGAGTACAACGCCCGTTCAAACACAATGACCTCATACCTTGAGAAGGCAAAGGACTTGCTTGGACAATTGAAATCCTACAAGATAATCTAGATCCCAATAGACCAGAATGAACATGCAGATGTTCTTGCTACTCTAGCTTCCGCTAATAAACAAGGTTTAAAGCGAACCATTGAAGTGGAGTATCTTGAGAAACCAAGTATACATGAGGACCCAGTAGAAGTCAATTGCGGGGAGCAAGCACCGAGTTGGATGGACCCTCTTGTCCAATATCTCAAGAATGGGACTCTCCCAGAGGATAAGAATGAGGCAAGACTCATTGTCTCAAAGTCAACCCGTTACTGGTTGTCACTAGATCATAAGCTTTATAGGAGGTCTTTCTCAGGGCCGTACTTACTATGTGTCCACCCTAGCAAAGTGGAGGATCTACTCTATGAGATCCACAAAGGGGTATGTGGTGCCCATACTGAAAGAAGAAGCCTTGCCTTAAGGGCCATCTCCCAGGGGCATTGGTGGATGTATATGTAGAAGGATGCACAGGTATATGTGAGGAAGTGCGACAAGTGTCAAAGGTTTGTTACTATACCTCGACAGCCAGCAGGTGACCTAAACCCACTCACGAGCCCTTGGCCAGTAGCTTAACGGGGTATCGATATAGTAGGTCCCCTTCCTCGGGCTCCATCCAACAAAAGGTATCTCATCACTATAACTGATTACTTTACAAAGTGGATTAAGGCCAAGGCCCTCTCCAACATCCACGACACTAATACAAAGAAGTTTGTATAGGAGAATATAATCATAAGGTATGTAATTCATTACGCCCTTATATCTGAAAATGGCACTCAATTTGATAGCTCAGCGTTCAAAGAATTCTATTCGGGATATGGGGTTCGCAATTATTATTCCTCCCCTACTTACCCTCAATCTAATGGGCAAGCTGAAGCTTTGAATAAGTCATCCTTGACAGCATCAAAAAGAAGTTGGAAGCAACCAAAGGAAGGTGGGTGGAGCAACTTCCAAAGGTGTTTTGGGCTTACCAAACAACTCCAAGGTGTTCTACAGGAGAGATGCCTTTTCTCCCTCTCATACGGTATAGAGGTCGTTATTCCTCTTGAAGTAGGTCTACCAACTATAAGAACTGAAGTCTATGAGCAAGGTAATAATGATCAAACCCTTGAACATAACTTAGATCTTATTGAAGAAAGAAGGGACCAAGTAATGGTTCGGCTAACAACATATCAATAGGAGTTAGTTAGATCCTACAACAAGAAGGTTAAAGAAAGGAGCTTCACACCTAATGACTTGGTTCTTTGTAAGGTTCTCACTCAAACTAAAGAACCTACAGATGGCAAGTTGAGCCCTAACTGGGAGGACCTTACAGGGTCGTGGCACGAGCAGGGACATGAGCCTATAGATTGGAGGAGCTCGATGGCAAACTAGTTCGCCAACCTTGGAACATCATCAACCTTAGAAAGTTTTACTTCTAGATAGTAATGCCTTATCATTACAATAAGTCTACAACGACATTCATTCTAGATCATCAATAAAGAGAAGCTTGTTCTTTGCAACTTTGAGCCCTCTTAAAGCCAACCTCTACGGTTGCACTTTTAAAGTCAACCTCTACGGTTGCACCTCTTAAAATAACATCTACGGTTGTATCCCTTACACCGACCGCCATGGTTGCACCTCTAAAAGCCAACCTCTACGGTTGCATCCCTTACGCCAACCTTCACAGTTGCAATTCAAAGACTTAAGACACAAAAAAAATAAAAATAATAATAATAACTCTAAAAAAAAAAGTCTTGATTTATACCTCATTTAATTTAATTCGTTAAATAAGATATGGGGGCAATTGTAAGATAGAGGCAGTAGTGGGGTGCCGCCCACTAGCCCATGGCGTCGTCCACATAGCACCAATTCTTATTTCTTTCTTGGCTAACATCAACATATATAGTTATCTCATGGATGTGGCTATTTGTCTGGGTTTGCTTTTACTTACTATTATTATTATAATATAATATTTGTATGCCCTTGCTTTTACTTACTGTCAATATTATAATATAAATTTTTGTATGACTTTGCTTGGACTGATTATCATTATTATAATAAAACCTTTCATTTTTTCCACATGACACACACACACTCTTTTGCATCCCTGCACGTGCACTGATCTCCACTAAAGGAGAAGTGGGGCGCCGCCCACAATAACACCCAAGCACCACAGCACTCCAGGGTCGCCCATAGCACTCCTAGCATCGCCCAAGTGCCTGTCCAGCACTCTTGGCGTCGCCCAAGGTGCTGCTCAGCTCTCCTGGCGCTAGCCAGTCTTCCTGGCGTTGCCTAGCCCCTCTGGCATCGCCCAAAGCACCTTGCCAGTCTCCAAGCGTCGTCAATAGTGCCCAAGGGCGCTGCCAATCTAGGGTTGGGACCTAGAGTGCTAGTAAAACTTAACTCTGAGTATTAAGTGAATATTGATAAACAAAGCCTCTCAGCAAGCATATCTCTTCTTACAAGTAAAAACTCAATGTCCTACTACGACTCTACCTCAAACATCTAAAGGATTGGTGATGAGGTCTATCTTATCACAATCTGGAGTTCAACTTTACTTGGAACACGACTTTTTATGTCATTATAAATAAAGACTATGAGTACCAAGTAGGGAATGGGAATCCGAGCCTATTCACTATACATTTTTTCTTCTACTAGCTTACTGATTTAAGCATCGAAGTCCCTTTGGCCATCTCTGGCCATCGATTCACCTAGGCGTTTTCTTGTCTTGCAGGTTCACTAAGGTTTCTCTACCACCTTCTCCGTCTGTACAAAGTGTACTTTCAACGCCCGCACAAAATCTATGCCTTGGCCAAAGTTTTTAGTACATTTGAAAATATGTCCAGCCGTTTTGTGTATTAGTACCATCATTTAGGTAAAATTTATCAACTTTTGCGTTGTGTTCATTTTATAGTTCACTTGCTATTTTTTGGGTGAGGCTTAATGTTTTGTTAATCGTTACATTTGATAGGAGAAAAAAAAGTTGAAAGGATAAAAAAATATGAGGAATAAATTTTCTATCATTGAAAAAAAAATATATTTTCCCTCCTTTTTATTTAGTAAAATAAATGAAAAGTTGGAAGAAATAATTTTCTATTGCTTGATATTAGAAGAAAAATGGAAGAAAAAAAATGATACATTTACTTAATTTACCACTATGCCCATACATATAAAAACATTTTTTATTACAAATAAATTTTTAAAGATTCATGGTCACTCTAATTAATTATAAAAATAAATAAACTAATAAATATAGATATGTATACTAAAAATAATAGCCAAAAAACATACACAAAAAAAGATATGTAATATGATACTTAGAAGTGTTTCTTGAAAAATGTGCAAATTTTGATTTGAAATTATGAAATAATATTTAGAAATATATTTAATGACAAAAAAGTGAATTTATTCAAAAAAATAATTTATCTTCAATTTTCCTAAAATGGTGGGCGGGAGATAAACACTTTCTCTCCAATTTTCCTTTCTAACCAAACAATAGAAACTCTTTCTTTCCATTCCATTCCATTTTTTATCATTGTTAAGTTTTCCGAATAAATTGCTTTGCGAGGAAAACTAAGATGTGTAAAAGAAGAGCCCTGGATTACTCAGCATAAGTTGCTCATAAAACAGATCATTCAATGTAAAAATCACCTGAGTTTCGAAATGTGGATTTTATCAATGTAATGGTCTTGTAGCCACGAGTTATAACCATAAAGCAGACCAAAACATAATAAGGAATTCCCCATTCTAGCAAATAAAAAATATATATATTACTAAAAAATACAGAAAAAAGCCTACTTGATTGTTGGATAAAGCATCTATTTTGTATTGGCTTAGTTTGTAATCCTAAGTTCTCAGATCAAAAGACAGTAATTTTTTTTACACAGCCCAAGGGAGGGAGCCTGGAAATGGAGCTACCCCACAGTATTTGAACAAACCTTGAAGTTCAGGACACCCATTAGGGTAAGGGATTGACCGGTGAAAAGGATCACGCCCCAGCTTTTTGCGACGTAGTGAACCTAAACACCCATAAGGATCATCTTGGAATTGAGTCCTCACCAAGGCTTCGCCTTTCAAAGCTGCTTCCCTTGAGGTAGATGAAGATGGGGTCCCTGAGTAAAAGAACCTTGTATCCGGGAACCTAATTGCAGAGCGGTGCAGATGGACAAACCTCTCTTCCTTGAAATCATAACCCACAACCTGGATTTCAAGTTGAAAACAGAGCTTGTATTTATTATTTCAGGTTCAAATTCAGCACAGGTTGCAAAATTATATCACTGTCAATTTAATTGATTATTTACCAAGGAAAATTGCCGTGCTGAGTAGGACTTACGTAAGGTGATTCACAAACATGTATAGGATACAAATAGCTGAAATTTAGATGTTGGAACCGGTAAGTAGCAAGATGAAATGGAATAGAAGAAAACCAGATCCATGAGAATTAAGAGGTAGCAACAAATAAAGATGACATAAGAAAGTCATTTACAATGGTTTATTCTTGGGCAAACAATTGTCTAGGAAGGGCTGGCACGACAAGACCAAGAAAGACATAGGTTGAGATGGTGAATAAAGACGTTTTGGTGATCCAAAAGAAAAGCAATAACCTGGTTAAAAGTGTTGTAATCAACATCTGAACTAGGGGAAGTCATTTTATTTTGAGTAAGTCAAAAATTTGTTAGTCTTTGATCTCAGAAATATATCCTAGGGAAGTGTTTCAGTTTTCAACTTTTACAGAAATGAAGAAAATGTTGACAATATATGGCCTTACCGTTATATTATGTGGATACGTGCCAGTAAGCTCCCGAAACCGGCAAACACTAAAGAGAAGATTCTCAAAACTGTCTCTTGCATATTCTTCTGTGAGTGCCCTCAGCCTCACGATTTCTTTCTTGCCTATGCAGACATTGGCGACATTACAGTACACAAGCAGAATCAGATTACTGAAACTTGTATACATATTAGGCAATTTCAATACCAACATCAAAATAACGACAAAGCAGACGAGGTTTAGAAAGCATATATGGTTTTTGTCCACAGCTGCAATATTGCAGTGTACAAAGCCATTGCAAAAAGGAACATAATCTTGTACAGAAGGGAACCACATAGATCAATAAAAGATGTTAAATAAAGACGCGGTTAGGATGCCAGATAACTGTTTCACGATGGCCCTTGAAATGAACTACATTCGGGAGAGAGGGATAACGAGATAGTAAACACTATTTCGGCAGAGGAATATACCCGATATAGATATAGCATTTTGTCTACTCTTCGTATTACCACAACCATCTCCATCAATTGCATATATCCACCACCAGCAATAACAGCCAATATCTATGGATTGTCACCACACCACATATGTCACCAGATACATTACTTTAAAACATCAACACCATGACCATCCATACCAGTGCCAGAATTTAAAAAAATGGCACCATGCACTGTCTCCACCCCCCTAATACCACTATGGCCATGACATCCAATGCCACCATTACCACCGCCAAGAGATATTCACCACCAGACTCTCCAGCAATGCCACCATTTCTCAGCAGCATCACCCTTTCCTTACAACAAATATTATTACCTCTGCTTTTACATCCCAAATCCTTTCTCTTTCGGTTTTTTATCCACACCATGCTCCGAATAAATTAAATACGTGCTTCTTAGAAAACACAGCTTATTGGGGATTATACCCCTCCATCTGTCCAGATTAGCAACAATTGGCCCAAATCCAGGATGACGCAGGAAAACAGGATCTAGTGTATATTTCAACCCTAGTGAATGATAATGGGCCAAGTAAATAGCATCCAAATACTAGTCCAAAGTATTGTAAGGCTAACATAGTCACATATATTAGGGACACCAACTGTATCTTGAAACACCAAAGGCAAAGGAGGGTGTCTACTTCTCCATTTTCAGTGCTTTACAGAACATGAAAACTTGAGGGTAAGGCACAAACAGCTGCAAGCCTAGCAGCAACTTTTTTTGTCTGAGTCATGACTGCCATAATGTTTCAGTTTCAACATTCAGTTATCAGCCATATTTATTTCGAAACCCAAAACTCTTACCTCCAACTCCCAACACAAAATAAACAAATAACCAAATAATGGAACAAAAGGGAAACCCCTTTGTTTTTCTACTTTTTTTTCTACTTGTGCAGCCTGCAGTTAAACTATCTATAATAAATGACAGATGGCTCATGATCTGAATGTGAACTCCAACAGCTAATATAACTTGCTGCTTAATTTTAAGTCAGACATTCTCAGCATGGGTCCAGAATATGAATGATATACCCTGCCGTTAGGATACGTAAGATTTCTTAACATGGGAGTGTTTATTCCATCATGACACAGTTGATCATTTGATATTGCTGCTTAACAATGATCTGGCTCAGGGTCACCATGCATATCATTTAGGAATGATTGTTCTGACATGTGGACTGCCTAAACACAGCGTAGCATTATGCAATGCATCAAGTAAGAGCGTAAGTTTCAAATGATTGAACTAAGCACAAAGGGATTCCCAGGCAAGAAACGACAGATTCTATTTGTGCACAACATATGAGGACAAAATCATTCACACAGTTCTTATTTGCTTATCCTGTAAATTCCAAGAAAACATGCAAAGCAATTCCTAAATAGGAAATGTCTCAAGTGCTGTAGGTTCTACCATCGTCGTGTGCTAAATGGAGCAACAGTTGCTTAAAAGTTAATTTTGTTTTACTTGAACAGTTGAACTAGCCTGAAGATGCAAACAGTGGTTTTGCAGACAAATCCAAAGATTCGATTGAACTATTTTTTTTTCTTACCTTATAAGTGAGGTGCCTAAGTTGATTTCACAAAATTTTAGAGACTGTAATATTTAACAAACGAATTTATCCATGTCAAAGTGATATCTTCGAAACCAAATGTTCATCATTTATAGGGCTGATAGGTTTAGATATGAACTCAGACCTAAGGATTACAATAACCACCAACACAAAAGCACTCGCAAACACAAACAAACAGAGATGAACCAACCCCTTACTAGCCAGGATTCCTAGTTTTCTTTTACGTAACATCAAAACAGGTAAGCTCAAAGGTTTAAAACTTTTAAGAAAGTGCAACTCACCAAACCATCCTTTTGATTCAGCAACAATCCAGTAACTCTGTGCCTCGCTTCTAGGCCCAGCATCTTTCCGAGTCTCTCCACCGCTAAACAAGAGCAAAGCCTCATCATCTCTAGCTGCAACTTCTATTCCCTCCTGTATATGTGTCACAAACGTAGCAGCTTGACCCGGATGCTTTTGATAAGACTCCAAAAACCAAGCATTCTCCTTATCAACCTTCTCACAACTACTACTTGTGTACACTGAATGCCCAGCAACCATTACAAGATTCCGAAACTTTGCAAACGGATAGGTATCGGAACCCTTATCAGATTTCTTATAATTACTCATCATTCTGAATTGGCTCTCGTAAAGAGATAGTACCATGAGAATTGTGACCCCAACTGACAATGAAATGAAGAAAACCATGATGGGGTGCAGCTTGGAATAGTATTGAATTCGGTTTCCAATGGATTTGATCATTTTGAATGGATGAAGAGGTGAATTTTTTGGCTTTCTGGTTCTTTTAATAGTTCCAGATTCTAGATCAAAATCACCTCTACGGTAGACCTGGAAAGACTTGGGACTACCAGACCCAAATGCATGATTTATCTTCATAAATGGGATCCAGTATCTAGGAAATCAAGCATACCCAGAACCAAATTCAGAGAGTAGTACAATTTCACGAAGCACACCCAGATGGAGATCAAGAATGTCACAGAAAGAACTCAAATTTTCCGATTCTGTAGAAATCCAAAGATAATGTGTTTGTCTGTGATAAAGAAAATTAGGGCCATTCAATCACCCAGCATCAAACCCGGTGCAGAGGACCAAAAGAGAAGCATTAAGAGAGAAAGAAAACTTACCCAGAAGAAAATTCGAACAGAAAACTACGGCCAGATGAGGACTCGAGATTTCCCGGTATGAAAATTTACCAGATTGAAGAAGCTCGGCGTGTACTTTCTAGGTAGACTTTAATGGATGAAGACAAACTATATAAACTATTCGGTTTTTAATATTTTATATTTTAAAAGATGTCTCGATTTCCGAGTTTTTTTTTCAAACTCAGCCTCCCTAGGATCTTAATTCCTTAAATTAATCGTTTAACATTTTTATACAAGTATTAAAGAAATTATTAAATAATTATAATATAAGTAAAAAATAATTACACAAAACTAAAATACTTTTATTCAATACGTATTAGAAAGGAAAGAAATATGAAAGACACTTAGCCTCCACCTAATCTAATATATTGAAAAGTTAAAGGTAAATTTGGAAGAAAAAATATTAATTATATTTTAATTTATTAAATGACAAATTTTATGGAACAAAAAAAAAATGTATAAAACGACAGTTATTTAGTAACGGATGAAGTATTTTATTAAAAAAGTCATTTAAAATGACGCTTTTATAAGTTAAAACGTCATTTTAATTGACATTTTTAAACTGGAATTTGTTTTTTAAAAATACGTCAAATGACGTTTTTAAATGTGTCATTTTTAATGACATTTTAACTCATAAATTTTCAAACGGCAACTTACAGACGTTAAAAAAAAAATAAGTGATAAAAAAACATCATTTACAATTACGTTTTATGCCCTTATAGTCGGATCCCAAATTTTCCTAAATTTCCTAATTCACAAAATCCCTAATCTGTCTAAACTAAACCCATCACGCATAATACCGATCTTCTCCACTCTACACCTCCGGCAAAGATCAGTCATTTTTAAGCTTTTACCGTCGACGAAGACCACTCCGGCCCAGGAGTCTACCTCCGGTGAAGACACTCTGCCGACGAAGAACCACTCCTCCGACAAAAGATCTTAGGTGGGAGAAGGAATTCACAAAGCTATGGAGTCTCTCTGTGTAGAAAGCGGCCTGTCCTCTAACAATTGCTCCTTTAGCTACTCCGGCAACCTACCGAAGGTAGTGTGGTCTCTGTCTCTTTTTCTTTAGAAATTTATGGGCCAGAGGTTCAAATGTGTGCTGATTGTTTGTTCATTTTATTCAACCTTGGGTACTTTAAGAATGTTCAATAGATTAATGTGAATATACTTCATTGTTTAGATGTACAGTTTGTGTATGTTTTGATATGCATTTTGTGAATTGGAAATTATACCCTTTTGCTGGGGCATTATTTGTGATTTTCTCAATTTCAAGATGGGTACCAGTTTTGTTCTACTGGTTTGGTGCAAAGTTATGATTTTTGGCACTTTACTGTTAATGGGATTTTTGAGTTTTGTTGAATTTGTTAGGGTAGGTCTGGACTACAAACATTTTTGAGTAATTTCCATGTCATTTTCCATGATAGCTCATCGTTGTGACTGGAAAATTAATATAACTAGACAACATGGTATGGATTTCTTCATTCTGAAAAAGATTGCTAAGGTAATCATATTGTAGCACGTGTTTCTGGCTTGTGTAACAACCACCTTATAGTGATATGCTAGAACCAACATAAAATAAAGAAATTAAAAACACAGCTGACAGTGGTTCATAGTAGGGTAATCTGGTATCTCTCTAATCCATAACAACTGTTTACTTTGTAGATAAGTAGTCTACAACAACTTATCAGCACTATTGAAAAGAAAAACTCACATAAGTAATGTGATGTGTCCGCATTTCTTAAGGTCAGAATATCTCATGTTGTAGAGAGATGGGCCTTGCAAAACTTTTAACGGGTGAAATTAATAAGAAAAGGAAATAAAGTTTTATAGAAATATTACATTAGATTTTTCTTGGAAATCCACCCAGACTAGTATCTTGTGTAAATATCGTTGGATCCTATATGATATAGTTAACAAGGCATGCGTATTCCCATGTTCTGATCTTTCCATTTTTTTGACCCATTTCTTGGGTAAAGTCTCCCAACTATATTTGAAAATAAATTGGTTATCCATTTGACAATGTGTATTGTGGCTAATAATTTACTTATGATTTTCTTTTTATTGTGTCTGTGTCCATCAATCAGTGCAGTGGTTTACAAGAATAACATTCATATCTTCATAGGTAGAAGAAGCTTGAGTGGTTTACAGCTTTAGACATCGCAGGTTTTAAGTTATTTGGACAGCAAGCTAGCCATTCCATGGACGATTCAATTCCAGTTCTAGGAGTGAATTCTGACAAGTTTGATGGCGCTGGTTATCATCAAAGAACATATGTGCAATATAGTTGCAATACCTCTGTTGCAGATGGCATGAAAATTTTGTGTATCTTTGAAATATCGAAAATTGTGAATATGAAATGGAAATCTTTTCAATATATAATGGCTTATTTGTAGATTTTTTCCTCATCTTGGTTTCTTATGTTATTTTTGTCTAGTTGAATTTAATTGTCGAGTTGGTGAATATGAAATATGTCCCTTTGTTGTGTTTGAATGAGGCAAGAAATAATGGAGTCTCAAAGTCATTCCACATTGCTGCAGTAATCGAGTCTCTTAGTGACAATGCAATTTGCTCTTGTATAGAGGCAGCCAAAAGTATATCAGGTTGATTAAATAGTGTTAGAGTATGTGTGGCTCATATTTGCTGTGTGTACCATGACAAGGAGGCAGATGCCGGAGCGGAGCGATTACTTTGGGGTACGGGGGCAACGTCCCTACGGTACGGTACAAGAACATTTTGTAAATACATCCGTACCAGGGTTATATAAATACTTAAGATATAACCCTACTTTAAATAATGGAATAGAATGACCGCTCGCTCCAGTGGATGTAGGTACATTGCCGAACCACATAAATCTCTGTGTTATTTTCTCTTACTTGCTTAATTGATTAATTTCTTATTATTCATCATAATTGCTGCACGATCACAAAAATTGGTATCAGAGTCAGGCTACGATGTCTGGGATTTCTTCTGCAAAATTCGACATGATGAAGTTCGACAAAACTGAAAATTTCAGATTATGGCAGAGGAGGGTGAAGGACTTATTAGTGCAGCAAGGCATGGTGAAGGCGTTATACGGAAAACAACCGACAGGAATGGACGACATGGATTGGAAAGAATTGGAAACGAAAGCTGTGGCGACTATTAGGTTTTGTCTGGCTGATGACGTGATGTATCACGTCATGGATGAGAAATCACCGGCGAAAGTTTGGTTGAAACTAAAAATTCAGTATATGTCCAAGTCGTTGACGAATAAGCTCTATCTTAAGTAGAAACTATATGGTCTTAAGATGTCAGAGGGCTCGAATCTGAGCCAACACGTTAACGTGTTCAATCAAATCATCTGTGATCTGAAGCGAGTTGATGTGAAGTTCGAAGACGAAGACAAGGCGTTGATGTTGCTGAATTTCCTACCAGCGTCTCCTACGTACGAGAATTTAGTTACGACTCTGATGTAGGGGAAAGAAACCCTCGAGTTGGAGGATGTCACAGGTGCTCTGTTAGGTTTTCATCAGCGGAAGAAAGCCAGTGATGAGACTTCACAAGGTGAAGGGCTTGTGGTAAAAGGTAACCAGTAACGTGGAAGAAGCAAATCTCGGAATGGATCGGGTAACAATAAAGCCCGGTCCAAATCGAGGAAGAAGAAGGACGTCTCCATCTCGCGTTACAAGTGCGGGAAAAAGGGGCACTTTAAACGGGATTGTCCAGAGAAAAAGAAAGAGAATTCAAAGGACAAAGAGGGTCCATCAAAGTCTGCAAACGTAGTGGAAGAAGATTATTCAAAGAGCGGTGACGGTGATATGCTTTCTATTTCATCCGGTTCAGATCGTCTAACAAATTTCTGGATTATGGATTCAGTATGTTCCTATCACATGACACCCAACAAATATTGGCTTGACACCTACAGGTCAATAAATTCTGATCCTGTTATGATGGGTAACGATGCATCCTGCAAAGTTGTTGGAATAAGGAATATTAGAATTGAGATGTTTTATGGTGTGGCTAGAACGTTGTGTGATGTTAGACATCTACAGGATCTAAGGAAGAATCTAATTTCATTGGGCACTTTAGATTGTAATGGTTATAATTACAAATCTATAAGTTAAGTAATGAAAATGAGTAAAGGCATGCTGATAGTGATGAAGGGACAGAAAGTAGAAGGAAATATTTACAGACTACTGGGTACCATGATTGTAGGTGAAGTTGCTGCTGTAGAGTCTGAATCAGATAGTACAGTCTTGTGGCATATGCGGCTGGGTCATATGAGTGAGCATGGGATGATAGAGCTTCATAAGAAAAATCTATTGAAGGGTGTCAATACATGCAAGCTCAATTTTTGCAAATATTGTGTTCTTGGAAAACAGAACAGGGTGCAGTTCAAGATAGCCACACACAAGACAGAGGGGATTCTCAACTATGTCCATACTGATGTTTGGGGACCATTCAACGTAGTATCACGGGGAGGATACATGTATTTCGTGAGAATCATTGATGACTACTCACGAAAGGTCTGGGTGTACTTCATGCGACACAAGTCTAAAACATTTGCCAAGTTCAAGCTGTGGAAAACTGAAGTAGAGAACCAGACAGGGAGGAAGATTAAATGCCTCAAGTCAGATAATGGTACTGAGTATATAGATTCAAAGTTCCAGGAGTTGTGTGAGCAGCATGGGATCAAGAGACATTTCACAGTCCGCAAGACACCACAACAAAATGGTGTAGCAGAAAGGATGAACAGAATGATAGCTGAGAAAGCTTGGTGTCTCAGGTTGAATGCAGGGCTTGCAAAGAATTTATGGACAGAGGCAGTGAATATGGCATGTTTCTTGATTAACAGATCGCCGAGGGGAGCACTAGATGGAAAAGTATTATAGGAGGTGTGGATAGGCAGTGAGGTAGAATACTCTGGTTTGAGAGTGTTTGGATGTTCAGCCTATGTACATGTTTCTAGTGAGGAGAGGTCAAAGCTTGATGCGAAGTCTAGAAAGTGTATCTTTCTGGGATATCAGAAAGGGGTGAAAGGCTTCAAGCTCTAGGATCCGAAGGCAAATAAGATGGTGGTCAGTAGAGATGTGGTTTTTGATGAAAAAGTCATGTTGCAGCGTACTCAGGAAGAAGAGAAACAAGTGCCAGAAAATTGTAGCACTAATGAGCATATGGTGCAGGTGGAGCTAGAGAACTATGGTAGAGAAGAGGATGCTCAACATGTATAGAGTTCTATCTCAGGTGATCAGCAACATCACAGTATAGCCACAGACAAGCCCAAACGCAATATCAAGCCGCCTATCAGGTGTGGTTTTGAAGATTTGGTTTCTTATGTGCTTATTACTAGTAGCGGGGATCCTACAACTTTTCAGGAGGCAGTACAAAGCCAAGAGAAAAGTAGATGGATGGGTGCTATGGTGGAGGAGATGAAGTCTCTGCATAAGAACCAGACATGGGAGTTGGTGGAGCTTCTCGAGGGAAAGAGAGCGATAGGTTGCAAATGGGTGTATAAGAAGAAAGAAGCAATATCAGAAAAGGAGGGGGAAAATTCAAGGCTCGTCTAGTAGTAAAGGGTTACTCACAGAAAAAAGGGTTGACTATGATGAGATCTTCTCCCTTATGGTCAGACACACTTCCATCAGGACAGTGTTGGCGTTAGTAGCACATTCAGATATGCAGTTGGAGCAGATGGATGTAAAGACTACTTTCCTTCATGGCGAGTTGGAGGAACAGGTTTACATGGTACAACCAGTCTCCCTGGAAAGGAACATTTGGTCTGTAATTTGAAGAAATCACTTTATAGGCTGAAGTAGTCTCCGAGGCAGTGGTACAAGTGATTTGACTCTTACATGATCCGGATTGGCTACAAAAGGTGTGAGTATGATTGTTGTGTCTATGTGAAAAGCCTTGATGATGATTCATTTATTTTTTTGTTACTTTATGTGAATGATATGTTGATTGCTACCAAGAGTATGCGTGAGGTCAACAAGTTGAAGAATTTGTTGAGCAGAAAATTTGACATAAAGGATTTGGGTGTGGCTAGGAAGATTCTTGAGATGGAGATTCGCAGGGACAGAGCTTCTAGGAGATTATGACTATCTCAGCATAGCTATGTTGAGAATGTGTTGTACAGGTTCAACATGAGTTATGCAAAACTAGTAAGTACACCTTTGGCGAATCATTTCAGATTGTCTACCGCTCAGTACCCAAAGACAAATGATGAAGTTCATGACATGTCAAAGGTCTCATATGCTAGTGCAGTGAGGTGTTTGATGTATGCTATGGTTTGTATAAGACCAGATTTGGCACAAGCTATCAGCATGATTAGCAAGTTTCTTTCAAATTCCGACTGACAGCATTGGGATGCAGTCAAGAGAATTTTCAGATACTTGAGGGACACTACAGACTATGGTATCATGTTTAGCAGATAACAGAATGACCCTTCAGTTGTGGGATATGTGAATGTAGATTATGCAAGGGACTTGGATGACAGGAGGTCTACCACAGGTTATGTGTTTACTCTCGTGGAATGACCTATTTGTTGGCAGTCCATAGTACAACCTATAGTTGCACTATCTGCTACTGAGTCAGAGTATATGACAGTAGTTGAGGCTGCCAAGGAGGCTTTGTGGTTTACAGGTTTGGTCAAGGAGCTGGGTGCCTAGCAAGGTGGAGTTCAATTGCATTGTGACAATTAGAGTATCATTTATTTGGCAAAGAACTAGGTGTATCATGCGAGGACCAAGCACATAGATGTGAGGTTTCATAAGATCAGGGAGTTGGTTTCTTCTAGTGAACTATTACTTGAGAAAGTTTACACTTTTGAGAATGCAGCAGACATGTTGACAAAGCCTATTACAACAGACAAGTTCAAGCACTGCTTGGACTTGATTAATGTCTCCAATTGCTATATGGGATATGCCCCAACTTAGCGTCCCAGGTGGAGTTCTCGGATACATGTTCTCTTTTTTCTCCTAAGGAATGAATATTTGCCAAGGTGGAGATTGTTAGAGTATGTGTGGCTATAGGGGTATTTTGTAAATACATCCGTAATAGGATTATATAAATATTTAAGATGTAATCATATTTTGAATAATGGAATAGAACGACCGCTCGCTCCAGTGGATGTAGGCACATTGCCGAACCACATAAATCTTTGTGTTATTTTCTCTTGCTTTCTTAATTGATTGATTCCTTATTATTCACCATAATTGTTGCACGATCACAACAAATAGCTCCTTTGCATTTCTTGGTAACTAATTGGCACCCCTGTATTCGTGGAGGTGGTACCGAACTTCTTGAAATGGAGCAATAAATCCATCCCTATTTGAGTAGCCTAGATCAAAAAGATAGTATTTTCCTGTAACATAGAACTCCTTATGAATAAATTCAGGGCTAGTTTAAAATGTATGATATGTGAAATTACAAAAACAAAATGAAGAAGCAACTGGCTCTGTAATGGCTAATTTGGAGACAACCTTTAGGAATCTGAGGGAAACTCGGATTACTTTGTTACGCTCATTGTGACCAACAATGTTCAAGAAAATAGTCAGCTGCTCCTCAATCATCACACTAGTTGTGTCACGTAACATGGCCCTCTGTCGAAGAGTGCCACATAACTTGTGAAAAACATGTTTATCCATCCGAAGCATTTCCCAGCATAAATTGTCATCACCGTTCAGTACTTTTGTCATAAATCCAGGTCCTATAGGTGGCATACTACGACAACGCTGCCTAGTTAAACTATTATAATAGTGGTAACCAGCCACAACTACAACTAATTCCATCCTATTATGAAAGTGAGTTATTTAGTCACTACTGACCAATCTGTCCCAGTCATAAGTGAACAAGTTGGAGTGGATACTGGGAGTACTCTTGAAGACAATGGGCTTTTAGAAGAAGACTTCACAGTATATCCCTTCACCACCCTTCTAGTTCCTCTCCAAAACCCACCAAGTAACCAATCCAGGAAAGTGCCACCACCACCACCATCAATCCCTTCATCGAATAATAGTTCAAGCAAGACATGGATATATGTTGTAGTTGGACCTCTTGGAGGGTTTTCCCTTACAGTGGTCCTTGGGGCCATTGTCTTTTGCTTGTTCTTTCATAAAAAGAAGAAACATGACTCAATTGTTGATTCAGAGGTCTTTGAGGCACATGAGAAACCAAATAAGACAAAAGTGGAGGAAAAACTAGAGAAGTTCTTCTTGCACAATCTGCAACAAATAATTTCAATCCTAGTTGTTGCATCAAGGGTTCTGTTTTTCGTGGCACGATCAATGGCAATTTTGCAGCCATTAAGAAAATTAATGGAGATGTGTCTCATGAAATCAATTTGATAAGCAAAATCAACCATTTCAATCTTATTCGCCTCTCAGGCGTTTGTTTCAATGATGGGAATTGGTACCTTGTTTATGAGTATGCTGTCAATGGACCGTTGGGTGACTGGCTCTATTACATGGATGGAGATCAAAATTTTTTGAATTGGATACAGAGAATACAGATTGTCTCGGATGTTGCCTCAGGGCTTAATTATCTCCATAACTATGCCTCTCCCGCGTATGTCCACAAGGATGTAAAGAGCAGTAATGTTCTTCTTGATGTCGATTTCAGGGCAAAAATCACGAACTTCAATCTAGCAAGGTCAACAGATGGGAAATAAGGTGAATTTGTCTTGACAAAGCACATAGTAGGGACCAAAGGTTACATGGCTCCTAAGTATTTGGAGAATGGACTGGTCTTTCCAAAGCTTGATGTGTATGCATTTGGGGTCCTCCTGATGGAGGTACTTAGTGGGAAAGAAATTAATCTTCTTCCTGAAGGGGTCTTATTTTTTGTGATTCATCAGGAGGATGGAAAGGGGAATCTGAAAAACTTCATGGATCCTTGTTTACAAGATAATTATCCAGTGGAGCTTGCCATTTTTATGGTCAAATTAATTGAGAGTTGCATAAAGAAAGATCCATCGAAACGCCCGGGCATGGAGGAGATTGTGCAAGCTATGTCAAGAATGTCATTTACAATGGCGTTTTTGAAAATGTCATTGAAAATGATGTTTTCTACTCCCATTTTTTTTAACGTCTGTTAATTGCCATTTCAAAATTCATTTTAAAAAACGTCAATAAAAATGATGATTTCAAAAACGTCACTTTGAATGATATTTTTAATAAAAAAAATTCAGTTTACAAACGTCATTTGAAATGATGTTTTAACCCATGAAGACGTCATTCCAAATGACATTTTTAAAAAAAGATTGGGTTTAGAAAATAATTTAAAACAAGCTGGGTTGGGGAATAAAAATTTCAGGAGGGGCTGGATTTGGGAAAAAGCTTCTCGATTCTCTATCCTAAAATATTATTGTTCTCACATTACACTTTGAATGTCATAAATTTGTTTCAATATAACCATCGAACTAACATTCATTTCAAATTTTGTTAAAATTTGATGCACATATCACACATGTCATCATTCATATTCTTAGGTGGTATGTGCATTAATTTTTAATGAAATCTGAAACGAATGTTAATCTAAGGACAACATTAAAACTAATTGATGACATTCAAGGTGTAAAGTGAAAAAAATAATTGTCCAAGGTGAAAAGTTGAAATTGAGACATCTTTCAAGTTGCAAAGTGCAAAAATCCTATACTATTTGTATAAATTTTCTAATCTATTTGTCAATTTTTAAATATTAGGGAGAAGACTATTATTGCTAAATTTGAGTGGTTTTGTTGGTTCTACAATTTTTTGAGATTACAATTTTTTAGGTCATGTTATAATTTATAATTTATATTTTTTTTGGTCCACTATAACTTTTATAATTCAAATTATAACTTTTGGGGAGTTTTATAACTCTTGGGGGTACTTAAAATTATAAATAACCTTCAAAATTTATAAATGATTTTCAAAAGTTATAAATAATCTCCAAAATTTATAGATAATTTCAGAAGTTATAAATAACCCCTAAAATGTGTATGTGGCATTAGGATATTGATTTTTTTCTTTTTGGGCATCATAATCTTCTCCAAAATATTAGAATCAATTTTAAAAAAAATATAACTATTTTAATATTAAAGTTACAACTTTCAGGAATATTTGGGATTGTAGGTAAGGAGTTAAAATATTTTGACACACTTGTTTATGTCAAGAGTAATCTAAGTAAATGAGTAGGGGTAAGTAGATGTGATAGAAGGAACTTGAACATCCTCTTAATGAAAAGATGAATCGATTGGATAGAGGGAAGGTGAAAAGCTCTCACTAGCCAAAAATCTCATGTCTTACAATAAGCAAGTAATGCAGGTATTTATAACACAATATTTGGGTAGGTTGGGCTGTTCGTTGAGATCCTATGACACTCGTGCTAACCCACAACTGTCTACACCGCGGTGATACCAGTGGCCGCTAACCACGAACCATGTATCTCAACATTAATTAGGCGGATGTGACGTTTATCCAAACACAGCCTGGATACGGCCCCGAGGAGGGTGCGATAGTTGATGCAAAAAAGGGAACTCCCAAGCTTAATGATCGTTACTAGTCGAGAGGGCCAGGTATGCGATGCCCCCAACGCACTCCTACCCGGGGTTCTTTCTTCCCTCTCTAAATCTTCAGACATTTTTCAAGGTGTTCGATAGAGGAAACCCACATAATTTTGGTCTTTCAACCACCAATCCACATGTCCTATTATCATATATGTTGATCTGAAACCAAAAACCTCAATAACTTTAGAAGTCTCTACGGATCCCAGTCAAGCATATCTCATTGGGAGGGCTGCTCGCAGACTAAACCTTCGACACACTGTCCTAGACTGAGATTGACAATCATACTTGTCCACCTCGTAGCCCAGTTCTTCCTTGAGGAGGTTCATACTTCTCTAATGCTAGGTTAATACGTCTCATCTTAGTCCAGTAGGTCTATCAAGCAACATTGTCTAGTAGGTTAAGGATATGATTCCCGCAATGGAGGAGGTGAGTCTCACCGAGGTTGCCCTAGACTTCTACGATTCCATTCTTGTCCACCTTTGGTGAATAGTCCATTTTGCCACTTCCAATATGATAGGGTAGTGTTTTCACCCTGTTGCGGTATTGCGCGTGGTGTTGTCGCACATGGGGGCATCACACCTAACATTGTTATCTATATCAGTCCAACTCCATCCTATTGGAATCCAATACCATATAAATTATCAACTCTTACAATTTGTCACTACAAGAAAAAATAGCTTTAGCAGATAAAACTTTGGCTGAAACAAGCAATAATTTTGCTGGTAAAAGCATGTGCCAGCAAAAAAATTCACTAGAAACTTCGGTGGGGTAAGCTGGCAAGTTGCAGAGAAAAACTAGACGTTGGGAATTCCATACCATTTCCAACGAAACGTTTTCTTGAGAAATATGTATATTTACCAGCGAAAAGAGTCGCGGGAAATTCTTTCAACTCATCCAAATGTTTTGCAAGGAAAATGTTTCTCCTGTGGAGATTACCTGCTTCGAAACTCAATAATCTACCAAGTATTCATATAATACTTCGTACACGAACTCCATAAATTGTACTGTTTGATGTACATACTATAACTCCCAATATAGAAAATAGAAAGACAACAACCATTACGTTTCTCTCAAAGCTAGTGGTGAAATTACTGAGAATGGATAACCTTGAAGCAAAACACTTTCACTCAAATGCACTATTAAACGCTAATTCACCCAGCAAATTATATTCTATAAGAAGAAACAAGATATGAATTAAAAGGGATCAGACCTTACGTCTAGAGATGTGTCCATTTATAGTCTAGACATGTGTCTTGAGTTTATCGGATATTACAAGGTTCAATTTTAAAAATTTTAAATTTAAGGTTTAATTGCACTAGAGGTCCCCAAAGTATAGATTTTATCTCATTTTGATCTCTAATATTTTAATTGTATCATTTTGATCCCTTGAAGTATTGAATATGTTTCTATGTGGTTCCTCAGACAGACAATGTTTAAATTATTAACGATTTTTTATCATAAACTTGTCACGTAATACCTAAATATGAACAAAAAATAATTTGGATAACTTTTAACCAAAATTAGGATAAATTTTGATCAAAATTTGGATAACTCATGATCAAAATTATGTAATTTGCGCAACTCTTTGACCAAAATTTGGATAAAAATTTGGTCAAAAATTATCCAAATTATTTTTTTACTCATATTTAGGTATTACGTATTAAATTTATAATAAAAAATTGTTAACAATCTAGACACTGTCTGTTTGAGGGACTACATCGAAATATATATTTAATATTTCAGGAATTAAAATGATGCAATTAAAATATTGATGACTAAAATGAGATAAAACACATACTTTAAGAACTTCTAGTACAATTAACCCTAAATTTAATCGAAAAAATTGTAAAAAATGATAAATGACCCTAAAAATCGTATAATTTTAAGAAGTTATATGGAACAGTATGTTAAAAGGATATTTTTTTTGTAGGTACCCAAAAATTCTACCACTATTGGTACCAATTGGATTATAACTTGGGTTGACCGAGTTTTAGTTGTTCCATCTAACTAATAATCCCTAATCCAATTATTAATCCCCATTCCCAAACAAAAGTGAGAGTGCTCTTTTTTATGTTAGATCATGTTTAATATAGAAGTACTAGCGATAACCCCGTATTTAAAGGTATGAAGTAATATAAAATCTAATTGTCCAAAAATTTGATATCATTATATTAAATATTAAATTTTTTTCCTTCCTTTTTTTTAATTATATGAATTGAAAATAATTTTTACTCATTATTTTACAAACAAATTGATAAATTTATTTCAAAATACATGACCTTAAAAAAAACTGATAGGTCAAGCCCAAAGACCTAACTCATGTTATAAACCCAGTTTAAGTTTATAGTTTGACTCCAAGAGATTCAGCGAATTCAGCCTAGTGTGGCCAACCCGGTCAAGCTCATCAGTGTGATCAGTCTGGTCAAGCTCAGTAGCTCAAGGAGCTAAGGGAGCAAGTAAGGTCATCCAAAGCCTTATCCTCGCTGCCCTAAAAATGGTCAACACCCCATCTCATCCTTTGACTGAATCTCATGGAGAGCACTGCAACTACCTAGCACGTTGAGAAAAGTTTGCCAGATCCAACAAACTAGCGAACTACTTACTAATATCTTGCCAAAATCTGTTAGGAGGACGACTATAAATTGTAAGCCCCACCAATACTTAGGGGGCAGATCACACTTTACCTGAGCATGACTCTCTCCTCTCCCTCAAAGCTTGTACTCTCTGCACCCCACACCCTTGAGTTAATAAAATACCCGGCAACCAAAGCCATTGAAGAGTGGACGTAGGTCGAGTTGACCGAACCACTATAAATTGCCTGTGTCTCTTCATCTCCTAATATTATTTTCTTGTATTTATTATTCACACTTGATAGGTAGTGTGCAAAAATCATTTTGTGCATCATCAAAAACAATTTGTGGAAATTATGGTATATGAACAATGTCCCTATTAAACAAAAATTAAATAATTTAACTTAGATAAAAATGAGTGATGTAATAGAAATGAGCGAAAAAATATATAAAAGATAAAAATTCAAAATAGTAGGTGTTTTATTATAGATAGATAGATTTAAGTGAAAAAAAAACCACTCTTTATGTTTGACTATCTAAGTTATCATTGGGTTTGTATGTACCAAAGTGTTGTTTTCAAGACTATCATTTATTGTTGTAGTTTGTCGGTGAACAAGGTTTGCTTATTTGGATTGTAAGATAATTTTTGAAGTGTAATTACTTTTGTTTGCGTTTAAGTTTCATTACGTGTTTATTGACGTACGTTCACGGAAATATCATAATCAAATATTGTAATGTTTTAAAGCATTTTTCATCAAAATATGATTTGATGAGTTTAATATCATATTGAAAATAATTCTATTTTTTTTAAAATGTTGTCTACTAAAGTGCTTAATGTATGTCATCATAAACTAAAATGTTTTTACTTTCGAAAAAATGTATACCATAATTCACAAAATATAAATGGAATGTCGGCGAATTATTCTATTTGAAATCCCAAGTAGTCATTTTTACCTTCATTCAAATAGGCAAGGGCAATGGTTTGCGTCCAAACAACGTATATAGTTTTTGTTTATTTGGTTTGAGTATGAGGATTTGTGTTATACAACTCTAAATACTTATGTTGTCCTAAGTTTCTAAGAGATCCTTACCCACACATTTAGAGCAAAAACATGGAAGCCAAAAAGAAAATCACAAGAGTTTTTCCTAGAGAGAAAAAGCTCATGAGCAAAAGCTTCTTGTTTTAAGAAATAACTTCTAACCAAAAACAAAAGAGCACACACACACACACACACACACACACACATATATATGATGCACAAAATTGATTTGCATACCACCCGTCAATTAAACAATATAAAATGCAGTAAGTAGAGAGAGAAAAAAAATAAGGTTTATAGTGGTTCGATCAAGGAAACCTACGTCCACTTTCAATAGCTAGGTTGATCGGGAATTTAATTGACTCCGATGCGTTGGGAGAGCAAGAATTACAAGAGAGAGGGAGATGAGCTTGATTTCGTTTAGATGCCCCCCAAGTGTTGGGAGAGCTTATAATTTATAGAAGCCTGCGTAGTAATTGAATAGCTTGACGGTTATAACGGATTATAGACAACTTAATAACTGATGACTTCTCTTCTTCTTGGCTACCTTTCCTCTTCCTAATGATCTCTCCTCTTCCTCAACGGGCAAGGGTATAGCTCGTGGATGCTCCCGTAGCTCTCTAATAGATTTGACCATCTTGGACCTCATAGGGTTTGTTTGGTCTTCTATAAGATTGGGTTTTTTCCCATAAATTGGGTCATTTGGACTTGACCCATCAATATATATATATATACTTGTGTAGTCTCGAACTTCTATGAGAGTGAATCCTTGAAGGTCAAAGGGTTTCAGTTGTCATGTGAACCGTCGTAGTCAATGAATTGGTTTGTGATTGACCTTATCGAGCGAAAAAAAGAAAAAAGATTTGTGCAGCAACTTAAATAGGTCGAAGACTTGCGGGCACTTATTGAAACAGTATACATAATCTGCATAATCCAAATCTGTAATTTCATTTATATGTAACAAACACTGAATTATACATGCTATATAAACCGATATCTTCTATTTATACATGCCATGTTAAACAAAACCATGGCGGTTTTCAATAAAACAGAGGGAGTTCCCTAAGTACAGATCTATTTGTATTTTGTACATTAACAGGAGGAAACATATAAGTATTAATATGTACATAGAAGAAAAGAGGATTATACAAAACTGAACTGTATACTGTTGTTTTAGTCTCTTATCTACTCTCCCTTCAAATAGACTTCAACCTATCCAAGCCATATGTTCTCTGCAAGATAAAGAGGTATAAAATACACATCAAAATGAATATGAAAAAAAGAAAAGAAAAGAAAAAGCAATCACTTTGTTATTATGTGATAGTTAAAAAGAATCAATATTGTGCTCAAGCACTAGAGAATAATATGAATATTGAGGCTTACCAGAATAGAGTGGATATCTTCTAGGAGAGGTACAATTAATGAAATCAGTGCTTGCATTTCCCCTTTGAGTTTTTCATAGTCTTCATCTTTGGCCATGAGGGTGGAAACTAAAGTTTTGTTATCAGGCAATAGTTTAAGTGCTACCTGACAAGACAATAGACTCTGTCACTGTGAAGTTTAGAGAATAGAGAGAGAAAGTCAATATATATAGTCTTCCTCCGGCATGGGGAGAGACTGAAGTCGCAGGAGGTAAGAGACCTTCATTTCTATGCTTTCATATTTGTGTTACATTTCAAACCCAAGAAAGTGTAAGTGATACTCCCTTTTTAGCACCAGTCACCAGAGTGCTTGACCACTATTTCCAATTATTTTAAGATAATATTTATACAAATAAGTATTCTCCAAAAGAATTTTGAGAAAACTCAGGACTGAATTTCAGAGAAACCGGTAAATTTTATCTTCCAAAAACTTTTTTGGAATGTGTATGAACCACTCTATTAATTCAAGGATGTTTGTGATATTCGCGAGTCTAAAAGATATGTTGATGAGAGGATTTCACGTTACCCAACATCTAGCAAAACTGTACTCAAGCTTAGTGGGCTCGAACGGAGTATGCCATGCTAAATTTTACCCCAGCTCAACCGAATCAAGTGCAAACAACCCAATAGGTTCGATTCCTTTACCCCTATATATAAATTAAGTAGCCAAAACAAAAAGGCAGCATGTAGAAATGCAGTATTACTCTGTAAGCAGTGGAACAAATCCATCCATGCCATGGTTTTAGAGTGATGTTGTATGACTCTTGCACTGCTTGTTCCATATTTAGGTCAAAATCCTTCACTAATAATTGCAACAAAGCTACTGTGAAGTCCATGGATCTGCAAAATCGAAACAAACACAAGTACAATAACTGAGAAATCACCACAGACCACAAAATATATCAAACAAGATAAAATAACAACCTAGAAAACGTGGATACTTTCCCAGGGGCGCCCTAGTGTCGAACACAGACACGGTTGGGACAAAGTCAGGACACAATCAAGGTTTTTATTTATTTATAACATGATTGTTAACTATTAAGAGAAGTGTAATTTGTAATGATATTTGATGAACATATTGAAATTTTAGTTAGATCTATTTTAAATTTAATCAAAAAAATTATATTTGCTACATCTTATTACTAATATTGTTATAAAATATACTTTGTTTTTAATGTATTATAATTCTATTACTAGCTAAAAAATATATTATATTCTTTTTATTAGTCATATCGTTGCCGTACTCATGTTCTATATTTTCTAACTTTATTATATGTTCATATGTGTATTGTATCAAATATGATAAACGTGTCCGTGTCCGAATTTCTTAGATATGAACTAATCTGCAAGTACATGATGTAATTTATGCAAGTTTTACGTGGCCTGTTGGATGGAAGCCCGCCCGCCCGCAAGTGCAAGTCACGGGCCAAATGGCGGGACTTGAATCATAGCTGTTGTAATAGTCAATGATCTTCCAATTAAAGATTCGAAGTTTTTACCTTGTAAGCCAAACAATGGCACTACTACAGCTGGTTCTTTTTCTTGCATTACCTTCACTGGTCTCTTTCTTCAAAATCTCAACCATATTTGAGTATAGTGCAGGATCAGATTCTTGAAACTTTTCCAATCTCTGTATGTCAAACACAACATAACAGAAATTTCAGGGTCAATTATTGTTAGAATAAGTGGGTTTTATTAAATCCCATTCAACATTTATGATAGTGTCACATCATTTGGTGTAATGAATTTGGTGAGCACTTCTTTTCGATATATTGTTGAAAATCATCTTGTTTTGAACTTTTTTTTAACAGTAGGTTCGTTTTGAACTCATTTTTCAAACTTGTGCACTTTTTAAAATGGCAATCCAATGATATTTTGATCTAAATTTCAATTACAAGTGCCCTTTAAACTTATATAATACATAAGAGACAATCCTTTAAGGGTAAGTAAGGCATCCCCATCAATAAGAAAATGACAGATTTTCATATGGACAGGAATGCCCATCTCTGATTAACAAAAAAAAAAACGAAACTGGTAGCAGAAAGATAGGGGTTTTATCGTCACGAAGGAATGTCAACCGGCCATTTATTATTGTATGGTGTTTAACGAAGGTTACTTTGGAAATATCAATGGCTGAGGCGTGTGCTGCTCACACACTATGAAAATGACAACTTTATATACAAAATAATGATGGCTAGATAGATTTAAGGATAAATTACACTTTGACCATTTAATTATGGATTCAATGTCATTTTATCCCTTAAACTATTCCCTCAACTATTTGAATTATTTCACACAACTTCAAACATAAATATCTGCTATCTTTTTTGACGATAATTGCTAACATATCCGGACAAAGTAAGAATATTGCATCCCTTGAGAGCAGAATGAAACATATTTTGCCGAAAAATATGATAGTTGAGGAAGAAGTGTCGAAAAAGAATCATATTTGAGGGAATCAAAATGTAATTTGTCCTAGAATTAACAATGATATGGTTCTTGCACCTGTATGTTTTGATGTATGTCTTGTCTCAGCACAGTCAGTGTTGGCCCTATCTTATCTGCAAAAAAATAGACAAGAACATAGCCACAGGAACTTGTAATCTTGTAGAGGCAGAATGCAAAGTGATTGATTCTTGTATACAGAGAGTAGTGAATAGAGGCTAATAAGAGATTTTTTAAAAAACAAAGGAGAACCTGGAAGTCTCAATGAAGTGATTAACAAACTGTCAACATGTTTATCCGATAACAATAAGTGTCTCTCAAATCACATAATTTTGTGTGTGTGTGTGTGTGTGAGAGAGAGAGAGAGAGAGAGACTGACCAAGAACTTGAATGATCAAGTCGCAGAGCGATAGAAAAGGCTTGGCGGGGATATGGGCAACACTCTGATCATCGCCACCAGGTATAACTTTGACCACCACCATGGATAGCTCTTCAATGGCAGACCTTATCTCTGAACCACTCTCCATTTCTCTTCGCCTCTTCATTTCAATCTCTATTTATTTTACCTCCACCTTGATTCTTGCTGTCTCTAAGTTCTTAAATATTGTACAGTTGACTACAGAGAGAAAGAGAGAGAGAGAGAGAATGCAATAGCAATAATGGCCGTTTCACATTAAAAGATGCAATGGCTTCCTTTTGTTACTTAAAAATATTTCTAGGCGAAAACTGCTGTATAGTTTTATTTAAATAGTTTTTATTTTATTTTATTATACGTATATGATTGTGACCTTGTATTTGACCTTGAAGTTATCACTTACCCTTCTGTATTATTTGTATTTAATTAATAATAATCTTTCATATATACGTAATGTGGGACCAAATTTATATGATAGCTTGAAAGATGTCAACCTTCTAAACCATGCTTGTGGATTAGATTTTGCAATCTAGGATTTAAGAATGGGCAATGCTATAGCCTGGATCATGGAATCTTTACTTCTTGTCAACCAACCCAACTCCCTCTCAATACAATTTTTTTTTTCTTTTTTTGGGAATAGTACGTCACCTACCATGCATTAATAAGAGTAATTATAGAATGTAACAATTCTGATAAAAAAAAAAAGAATAATGTTATTTAGAGCTAAATATTTGATTTAATTTGTTGACATAATGATGTAATTGCATAAAAATCATTGGATCAGCACCAAATTCCAATATTTAATGGGGCCTACAGTCAATCTATAGATCACAGGGAATTATGTTAGTAAATTATGTCACAATAGCATTGCTTAAAAAAAATTATAATAATGATATCACGACATCATCAATTGTATTATTATCCAATAAAAATTTATAAAAAAGTAAAATGAACTTAATGTTTTTATGCGGAGTAGTTATTATCTTATCTGAATAGGGTAATTACTATATAAATTTTGTGGGGTGCACCTATCTACATATGCACATATTAGTGACTGTTACATTGAATATTCTAACTTGAATTCACAATAATTGAAAAATATATAATAAAGGGAATACATTATACAAATCGTTTGGGAAAAAAGAGGAATAAAACTCTGGAAATTACTGTGGTAGCATTCGTCGTAGCTCTGAAAATTGTTGTAAATAGATTTGGCCTTTATGGTTAATTATGTTCTTTACAATGTACGACCATGTTCATGAAATGAAATAATAGTCAACCAACCACATTCCCCGGACTACACTGTCAAAAAGACTTGGTGGTAATGCTTCTAAAGAGAGAAGAGCAATTATTCCGTGCAAGCATTAAAATTTTGTTTTTAAACGGTTGAAACGTTTTTGTTTTTAAGGAAGTCGAAATCAAAAGATAAAGAAATCAAAATTTCAATGCTTCTAAGCGTTTCAAAATGTTTCGAGCTATTTTGACATGTTTCTACTTTTGTTTATGAAGGTTTTAAAGTGTTTCAAGATGTTTCAGTATATTTAAACAATATTTCAGAATGCTTGTAAATAAATTTTCGTATTATTTTTATTTTTGAAACGTTGACAAAACATCTCCATTCTTTGAGGTAAAAATTACAACTGAAAAAGTGACGGAAGTTATTACTTTTAAAAGTAAAGTTACTATTTTGTGAGATCAAATTATTAAAGGTGAAATTACAACTAATCATAGAGTATTCATGATCGATAATAATATTTCATGATTGATCATGAAATATCTCAATCATATAACTTTACTTTTAAAAAATATAATTTAACCCTAAAAAATAGTAACTTCGATACAATTTGTTTCTTTTTCAATACCACATAATTACCCTAAATTTGAATCAGTGCCGGCCCAACCTTTAGGCCACTTAGGCCATTGCCTAGGGCCCCCAAATTGGAAGAAAAATTTGGAGCACAAAAAAAAATAATGATTATTTTAGAATATAATTTAAATATTTAATACATTTTAATTATTGAATTAATAGTGAATGCTAAGTTTAAACAAAAATTACTATTTATCTAATGTACTTAATCCTCAAATTAAGTGCAACTAGCATTATTGTAAAATTTTTAGAAGCTCTTTTAAAAAAATTAAGGGCCCTAAAGTTCTGCTTATTTTTTTATCTCACCCGATATTCATATTATATGTATTATCACTTTGCAGTCTTCTTATTAAAATCAATTGTCTATCGTATAATTGGTACGCATAATAATATTATATTTGTATAAGTTAATTTTGAAGTCATTTTTTAACAATTTTAGTTACGATACACAAGATGACTATGAAATAGAGTAAGTAGAAATAATACACTAGCTATCTTAGATTGATTAACCATAGTTGTCTTACTAAAATTTTTTATTTAAAAATTGTTTTTTTTCTCTATGATATCTAACAATATCTCATTTATTTTAGGACTACTCAACTTGTATAAATTCCTATTTTATATACATTTATAAAAAAATTATTTTACTAGTCAACCTAATTTTCAATTATGTTTCTCTTTTATCTTAAACAAATAGTATGTATTATTGTATTTGATCTCTGTATTTGACTTCGATTAACACAATTTTTATTTGTAAAATTTGAATTAGTATGTTATATCTCAAAAGACAAAACAAATAATTTGTAAATAAACATATGTTAATAAGTTTTTCATATTACTATTATTACTGAATAAATATTTATACGGCCTCGTATAACATTTTCGCCTAGGGCCCAAATTAGCTTGGGCTGCCCTGATTTGAATGCACCCTTAAGTCTCCTAGAGTTATTCTCTCAAGATAATTATTAAGAATTCCGATGGATTATGTTTGGAAAAAATCATATATTCTCATGATCCGAAGATCTAGGTGACAATCTGGCCTTTTAGCGGTTCAAATGATAGGGCATGCACACCCAAACATATTGTGCTAAATTGTGGTAACTGCTTAATTAATCAAATAAAATCATTTTTCATGGGAATCAAAACTATTTTTAAGAGAGGGTTTGAAATGATTTTTAAAAAATATTTTTAGAACTTATGATTTTTCATAATTATTTTTAAAAAAATAATATTTAAAATTTTTTCTTTTAATTACTTCCTAATAAGTCAAAAAAAGTTTTACTACTTAAAGTAAGAAAAAAATAACTTCTATTTTTTTAAAAATTATTTCTTTACAAAACACTTCTCATTCTTATATTTATTTACATTACCACCATCATCCCACCACCACTGTCGCCCACGCTGACCACCACTTAATATATGTTTTAGAGATATATTAAAAATTGAGATATAAATAAATATTTTTTAATTGATAATTTAAATGCACTTTTGATTAATAAAGTACTTTCTATTTGAGTGATTTTTTGCTTGAGCATCTAAATGATGTTTATTTAATGAAAGTATTTTTTATAAAATACTTTTAAAAAATATTTATTTAAAAAATAATTTTTAAATTTTATAAGTTATCACAAACTCAACCTTCATTTTTAAAATTTTATAATAATGGGTGGTCCCTTTAGCTGAAAGTTGAAGCTTCCATTGGTAGTTTTTGTTAAACCCTGCCTGACAGCGTGTATCAGATATATTATTTGTTTTTAACCTTCAAATTATTCTGCTGATGATAATGACAATTGCTTATCCTTAGTTTTTAATTGTGTATCCTTTTGGATAAACATGGATCCAACACCAAATAGATCATTGGTCGAATATTAGTACTTGCATCATCATGTTGAAAAAATGTAGCAGCTTTTTCTATTTAAAAAGATTTATTTAGACTAATTCAAAAAATTAATTTTATAAATTTTTCTTTTGATTTTTTGGAGTTTTGTTTATTTTACATAATTTTTTAGTTTATTATATTCATAAATTATTATTAGTGACTTAAAAAAAATTAAAATTCATATTTTGAGAACTATTATACATAACCTATACATATATGTAATTATTTTATTATTTTAACACAAGAAAGGGAAGAAAAAAGCTAGAAAATATTCTAAACAAATTTTTTCAATTTTTTAAAGATCATCCCAAACAGTTTTGGTATGCTTTTAATTCTGATTTTTTACGACGTTGTTCAAATCACAACTTTTCACCTAAAAAAAATTAGTTAGGCCATTGTCATTTTCCGAAAGCCTGTCCTATGTAATAAAAGAAATTACTATCTAGATTTTTTTTTTCCTCATCTACTCTTGTGGGTAATCACTGATCTGACGCTAAAAAGAATTATTGTTTCAAAGTTTGCATTTTGCATCACCTCAACTCATACAAAGTAAGGTCTACAAGCCACTAGACCAAAAATCTAATTATTCTTCACACTTGCAAACGAAGGATTTACGGACATAATGAAAATTATTATGCTACGTGCACACTTTTTAGAAAAATATAAATAAAAGGAAAAAATAAATTCGGGGAGACAACTCGTTTCAAGGAAAGTAGAAACTTTCGATGGTTTAATTTCAGAAGAACCTAATCTCCATAACTTCCATAAAAAAATTCAATACAATATCCAATATACATTTTTATTCATAGAAAAACCTTTAAATACAAGATAATAAAAATTACCTTAATAACTAACATAACCCATGTCTTCACTATTTAATTAACCTCCTACAAAACTATACTCTAATATTTTATCACTACCCACTTATTAAAATAATTTCTTAATAACTACCTCTAATACTATGTAAAAATATATTAAAAATGAGTACATAACATATTACCACCGTGTTCGCATAATCGGCATGAAGAGTTCTCATATATATAATATACTAAGGAAAACTTATGCTCGAAGGTAAGATACAATATGAATGATTTTGAGAAGGATGTTAATGACTGTTAAATAAATTTGTTTGAGACTGTCACATGGGCTTATTGAAGTTTATCCTCCTTTATATTATAAATGTAGATTTGATACACACCATTGGAAGATAATGTTTGTTAGAATGTTGTGAAAATTCTTGCAAATTAGCATCCACGCTAATTTGATGACCAAAACTATTGTCGACGTGAAGTTTATAAAAATAAAATATCAAATTAAACTTAAGTCACGAGTCTCATCGACCAAATCAATAGTATTGCCATATGGTACACCCCAAATCAAAATT